TGAGAAAGGCAGGGACAACACTGACACTAAAGTTAACTCCGCAATAAGGGATATACCTTTAACTTGCTGGTCTGTCTGATACTTCTATAAATCTGAACATTCACATTGAGACAGACTAGGAAGAAGGATTGGCCATCCACTTCTGAAATAGCAGGCCTCTAAAATCCCTATGTATGTCCTACAATAGAATCCACAAAAAACAGACTAGAGCACCTGGGGGTTAAAATGAATAGGACTTATTTTCTTGACTTTTAACAGTTTTTAAAAATTGTGATGCGAGTGAAAGTTTACAAAGCAAATTGATTTTCCTTCTGACCTCGTGCTCACCGATGCTCCTTTCCTCCGACACAGCTGCCTAACATGTTTGGGGACCTTCGCTCCACGTTCTTGGCCCTCATGATTGGCTCCTATGCGTCTTCTGCCATCACGTTCCCTGGTATCAAGGTATGGAACTGGTTAGGGGTCTCTTGGAGTTTCTTTGGGCCTTGGTGGTGGTGGTGGATTTGCTAACCTTAAAGAGAAATGCAGTCTGAAGATATACTCTGAAGAATTGAGATCATTATGTCAAAGGAAGTCATGGAAAGGCAGCTATTGGATGACCTCTGTCCTTTGGCGTGGGGAAATACATGGAGACCACAGCTCATTAGCGTTACCTGAGTGGGAAGTTAAGTCAGGAGGAGGGGATCCCTGAGCTTCCATCCCTATGGTGGGATAAATGGAAATGGATGGCGGTGTTGGACACACACGTGGTTAGTGTACTTGACACACAAGGTGGTTAGTATACGTGACATACAACGTGGTTAGTGTACTTGACACACAAGGTGGTTAGTGTACTTGACACACAAGGTGGTTAGTGTACTTGACACACAGCGTGGTTAGTGTAGTACTTGACACACACAACGTGGTTAGTGTACTTGACACACACAACGTGGTTAGTGTACTTGACACACAATGTGGTTTGTGGTTAGTGTACTTGACACACAGCGTGGTTAGTGTACTTGACACACA